TTTATATCATAGATTTGTTTACATAATTTGTAAACATTTATATCATAGATTTGTTTACATAACTTGTCTTATTTATCTATATAACTCTTTTTCCTACAAGGCTGACCTCATTGTTAACATTAAATCATATAATAGCTGGTTAACTATTTTAGATAAGTTTATATAAACTTTTAATTTAGCTGAAGGAGGAGAAATAACAGATGAAGACCGAAAAATCATTTTCAATCAATTGAGACAGTTGAAAAATGAAAGTCAAAATGATAGCGAGAAACAGGTAAAAAGAAACCAATTCAAGAAAAGAATGAAAATTGGTTTTAAAATTCATATTATTTACATTTAATTTTAAATCATTAATTTATACTTGTTATTGACAATAAATATAATATACCATCAAATAAACTAAACTCTTTAATTTTTTTAATTGGCTTTATAAAAAACGTTATAACCATATTTTAAATTATGTTTGATATTTAATATGTTTTTCCTACCCAATGTTTTATCAAAAACTTGATAATATGAATTTTTTTTTTCAACTTTCTTATAGCAAGATTAATTTTAAATGATAAGAATAAAATTTTAAATTTATTAACAATAATAGCGCTTCAAAAATTATAGACGACTGCATGATTGAAATTTAAAAGATTATACTAACTTATGCTTTTTAACTTTTTTACTTTTGAATAATCTTTTGAATAATCTTGCTTATACTCTCCAAATTTTTCAGTTTTTTTTTTGCTTAGAATAAACGTCTGTTTTTTAATAAACTATTTTTATTCTGGTATTATTTTTTTAGTGTTGTTATCGACTTTGACTAATTCAACTAAAAATCGACTAGTAGAAAATCAAAATTAGTTGACTTTGAAAAACTAATAGTTGATTTAATTGACTATGGGTATCCTTTTAATCAACTAAAAATCAATTTAATTGGTTTCTACATCCTTATCTCTATCTTTTCATTTGATTTAACTTTTCAATATTTAATTTGTTATGAACAGTTAGTAAATATATAAGTAGATAAGATATATAAAGACTGAGCCATGCATAAAAATATTATTCATAACAGGTTTTTAATTCAACCAAATTATTGCATTAACTTAATTTTTAGTTTACTGTATGTAGCACCACTTTATATTTTCTTTTCCTCATTATAGTATCTTCACATAGGTTAACTGCTGTCGATTGTTGATAATAAGTATTCAGAATGCTATACTTTTTAACAAATACAAATTGTCAACTAGAAATAAAACCTAAACTTGAATCAATTAAAGTATATATAAATAATCTTTTAAATGAAGCTGAATTTTGCTAACAACAGATAGATAGACATTACAAGCCTTGTATTCATATACCAGCGCCAATATACATTTTGTTGATCAAAGTTTTTGTCTGAAACAATTCGCATTGCATTAAAGCATAGCCCAAAAACTAATATTTTAAGGAGCAAAACTGAAATTGTTCATGAATTGATTTCCTCATCAAATTGAAATGAATGAAAAGTAACTTTCAACAAGTAGTGACACTGCTGCAAATATCAAACATTGTCTAGAAGATCTAATTAATAAAATGTACATACCTTTTTTTTGTCATTTATTAAATTTAACTGTTAAAAATATTCTTGTAAAAGAGAATGAGTTATTAACTGAAGAAAACCATAGTGTCTCCATAATTTTAAAGAAATGTTGGAAACTAATTATTTATTAAAACATATATAGCTTATTTAAACATAGTAATAAGCTTCTGTTCAGCTAGTTATGTTGAGTTAATATGAAAATTGCAACCCTAAAAATAAATGTTCAATTAACAAATTAAAACAAGGCGTACCTGGTGAAGTTTGACCTTTTTAATGTTGCAATTAGTTGTTGTAATCAAGAGAACAAAGATTATAAGGATTTATTATAAAAATGCTGGAAAATCATTGGGGGTTGGGAACTTGAAATCATTGGGAGCTGGGAACTGGAAATCATTTGGGCTGGGAACTGGAAATCATTGAGGGCTGGGAACTGGAAATCATTGACGAGCGACTAGGCTTGGAACTGGAAATCATTGGCGAGCAACTTTTAATTGACTTGGTCAATTTCAAAATATATTAGTAGATTTTGGTCAACTTTTAAAAATACGTTAATTGATTTAGTTGACAGTCCAATTATTTTAAAATCATTTTAACATATATCACACATATATATCTTTATAAATAAGAAAAAATCTTAACATTTTTCTTTAAAACCATATTTAATAAAATCAATTTTTTGACTTAATTTAGTCATCTTTGGTTAAAATTATTTATACTATATTTAAAAAAAAAACTTATATAGGTATACAATAAAGTGGCATAAAAGACAATAAAATCAATGTAAAATACAATTATAAAACCATTATCAAATTGAACAAAATCCAGCAAATCAGATATAATAAAAAAGGAAGCACTAAAATACTATACATATATATATACAATGCTAAATACAGTTAAACAGAGAGAGTCAATTCAACATGGTTAATCTGT